AGTGGCTTCTGTCTGAGGGCATCCGGAATTGTCTGTTTCGGTATTAACTCTTGTAAACGGTCGCAAACGCTCATCTGTCCACGAATATGGTTCCCTTCTTTTATGTAAGATATAGCTTTTATTCAATTAGGGCGAATACCTTGTAACCTAATTTTTTCTTATAAGATATACTACTTCCCGGTCGAGCTGTCTTGTAACGGTCTCTAGGGTCTTCGGTCGAATTTGTCTTCTTTCCTGTAGTAGTTCATCTGATGAGTTCATCGCGCAATTTGAGTTTAAGCATTGGGCTTCTGAAAGCTATCTTCTGTAGGGATCCCCGATCGCCTTGTATAACTATTGATCAATGGCTTTCGCGCTAGGAGATCATCAGCTTATGGCAGGATGGATGAGCTCCTTATTGATATAAAAAAGGATGGGGTGAAGTCTGAGCCTCGGATGACGGGGGGAATATAGACACTGGGAAAGGAATCATGGGAGTCCGCCCGAATAAAGGGAGCCTTCCGTGAGAGGGCCCTGGAGGAGAATTGGAATAATGAGAGGAAGAAGCCCCCTGAATCATGGTAGTACGCCCCAAGATTGGAATGGGGGGAAGGAATGGAAAGATAAATGGATGGGGAATCCCCCTATGTGCTAGGAGCCAACAAACGGAAAAATACCCGTGGGAAAGCATGGGAGCCCCAAGCCTATGTAATAGTATCAACCCTTAGAAGATAGTTTAGCATCACCCTACCGATGAGTCCGGAGGAAAGACTGGTGAATCAGGCAACCCCTCTACCTTGAATTCATAACTTGCATAATGAGTTGCATCGACATCTTTGCCCGTGATCGAATGCCCCTTTCCCACGCCACCAATCGACGAATGCTGAGGGAGGAGTGAATCAACTGATGCAACCAACCACAATACACCACCCGAGCAACTATCCAACACCCGAAAAGGCGGAATAATGCCAGGAAGTTACCAAGCAACTCCAAGTGAATAACCCAACCACGACTATCTAACCAACTACCTATGAACTAATCAACAACCGAACGAGACTGAATCCAAGCGAGTGAATGAACGAGTCAGGGGTTTGTAAAGAGCAAAGGACTATAAAAAACACTACCCGGAATAGGAGTCTTGGCTAGTTTGAGCTGGAAGACGAGTCGAAGAAGTCAAAAGAGCAGGAAGAGGCATAATAGCCATCAACCGGAAGCAGTGCAGAAATAGGAGGAGAGCTTGTCTCAGCAAGTGATTGGGATTGCCGACGAGGAAAGAGTTGCCTGACCGCGAGGAAGGCCCTAGACGAGTGATTGACTGACCGTCGGGCTCCTTAAACCTTGACCCACCTTCCTGTCATAGGCTTGCTTCCCTCTGAAAGTTCTTTCTTTCCTTCTGCCACTAGTAGCTGTCTCATTCCTGACCTTCTGTTAGTACGGGCTAGCTTCAGCTAGCCGGTGAAATGGATAAGTCGTGTAACAAACAATCCTTGTTCCTGACTTTGCCTTGCTGCACCACAACCTATATTCCCGATGCTATTCCTTGCTCTATTCCTCTTTCTCAACCGGTACTGGCGGATGTGCGGTGCCCCTAATCCGAGGAGGGGGCTCAGCGGGAAGAGTTTGGTAGTTGGTTCCATTCGCTCGACTGAAAGAGCGGGAGCTCCATTTCTTCTTGTAGTTTCCACGTACGATTCTGGATTTAGTGGGCAATTCAAAGACGATCTTGGCGGAAATTTGGAACTCTGTTGACAAAGACCTCCGCTTTTGGTGGATTACTTAGCAGTTAGGGATATTTACTATTAATATTAAGAAATAAAAGGCATAATAAACCGGAACATCAACTCGAGATCGGCTTTATTATTCGGTTAGGAGTTCGGTAGCTCGTCGGAGGAATGCCACTACGAAGCTTCTTCTCCCTCTTCTTGCGGTCGAATGGGCAAACTTCCTAGCCGTAACCGGAATACTCCCTCCCGGGCAAGTGGATCAAAAGAGAAAAGAGGAATACGACTCGCTGGAATGCACCCACCAGTTTTCCAATGGTGGAAAGTTCTCTCGCCGCTCCCGCAGGCCTGCTAATAAGAGCTTGTTGACATCGAAGTTTGTACCGAACGAGACTAAGATTGCAGCAATCAGTTTCGCTTCTTTTTATGTAAGTAGGGTCGACCCGCCATAAAAGAGTTACTTTTCTCTCTTGAAGGAGTTTTATTAGTTCTTTTCCAAAGGTGCCATCCGCCGAGAATTGGCGAGGTGTGACGTCTTCAGCCGAAGCTGAATGGTTTGAGTGAGAACGGAACAATCTATCTCTCATCCGCCAAGAATCGGGGGTAGCAGGGTGGTCAGATGGCAGGGGTAGCTTGCCCACTCTCTCCGGGTCGATTCTATTATTTGTATTGTTGTTGAGGCGGTACATGGACGCCGTTCTTAACGTCCGGGAACGAATATCTTCCGCTGTTGTCTTTAATCTAGTTGTAGGAGGGTGGTCCGGGACAAATCTATGCACTTCAACTTGAACACTGTGACGGCTAACCTGGCTATACGACTGGAGACCGGCGATGCTTTAGATTCTTTTTATCCATTTCCGGGGATTTTTGCATGAATTGGGCATAAAGTCCTAAGCTTCGTAGGCCCAATAATCCGAAGTTGTAGCCGAAAGCGAAGCGAGGGATAAAGCATGAGATTAAGGCCCCTTTTCAACAACTGGAATTATATTATATGTTATGTGAATTTATCTAAAAGTAGAGGGTGGGCAAGCGGTCTCCACTAGCAAGTAAGGTGCTTCTTTCTTTCCAATGGAACCCCCCGATCCCGAACAACTACAATAGATCTACCAACGACCAACGAACAGGGATGAGTTTCTCTCGTCCACTACGGCTTGGAGCGCTCCGCCCGATACGAATGTCTGTTCCCACTCCTGTTCGGGATCGGGATGCATCTTATATGATTTTAAGTTAAGTTAGTTCGGATTGTCATGGCAGTAATTGATGGGGAATCCCTGTGAGAAATAGACGTACCGATGCCGATTGGTTAGGGCCAAGGTCCGCAGGGTATCATATATATAATGCAAGACATCGAATCTAGTTGTTACCAAACCTGCTCCCCTCGAGTGAGGCGGGGGTTGAAGAGAGGCTCTCACCCCTGAATCAATCCCGAAATGTGAGACCAAAGGTCGGGCTGTTGCACATATCAATAAAAATAGAAATGGATCCGCGTGATGGATCTTGTGCGGGTTAATAGTTTTAATTCGTGGTAAACCAGTGGGGTAGGCGCCTCTTGGCCTCCCGCAGAAAAGCTCGTTGCACTCCACCTCTCAATCAGTCCCTGAAATTAAATTTATAAAAATAATACGTAGAAGCGAGTGTCCGACCCGACCTCTTTCCTTTGCCCTTTCGTGCTCGGCTCCCTCACGGAGCATTCGCTCATTCCCTTGATCCGTCTACCACACAAACACAGTCGGAATGGACGCACCGGTCAATGAATTTAAAAAGTAAATTGATTGCTATTTCCGATCGAGAGAAATTTCTTAGGATCTGTGCGACCAACAAATATCACGGTATTCTCCTCCCGGTCACACAATGGAATAGCAGTCAAACTACGTAATTTGGTATCGTATATAATATAAACCATCAAATCCAGTTATTGCTGCCTGCCGCGAGAGACACAAGGTCGAAGAAAGGCTTTCGCATCCAAAGCCAATTCCGGAATACAAGACCAAAAGTCGAGCTTTTGTACCACCCGAAAAGGTTTAAAAGTAAGAATGAAAAGTGGTTGAGCCCGCTAGGAAGAGACATTATGACTAAAGTGTTTTTATCCTTAGGGCAGCTTGGGAAAGCTGGGTTCGTGATCTGTCTGTCCTTCGTATAATGGTTTTTGCAACAAAACAAGTAAATAAAATCGTATATAATAATAAGCGGGCGATCTCTGTGTCTTTGTCCCTTCACGCCAGGTTCACTATTTCCATCTGTTATGTATGGCGGTAACGAAAAATCTCCGAAAGGGGAGGAAACTGACCGAGGTTTTCGTACTGGAGTTATAACATTTTAATTTCTCTTACATTTATAAGGTTAGGTATTCCATATGATCGACCTCTTCGAGTTCATCGCTGATGTGTTTTCTCTCTCTAACGAGGCGCTGCCGCGGGCGCCAGCACCGGCTGAAGTTGCCCACCCCGCTCCCGATCAAAACGAGCATGCGGCACTTCTAAGGGACATTCACACTTTGATTCGGGAGCTACTTCGCGAATATTGTGCAAAGGGGAAAGGGCGGCTGTCCGCGCACTCTCCGGAAATGACGGAACTATACTCCAGTAGCGCGAAGGCAATAATGTCTTACGATCTGGATATCCCCGCGGAGACGTCGGCAGCCGACCTCCGCAAATGGAGGGAGAATATAAGGGGGGACCCTAATCTCCTAAAGCCACTCATAAAGGAATGGGCGTAGTCTGCCTGCTCTTTCATAACAGAGCCGTTATTCCCGGCTGGCATAGAAGTCTCTCGCGCGGGCGAAGGAGATGCATTTCTGGTACTGGACAAGCTCTTAGGGAAGAATCTCTTTCTTATTTTTTTTTCCGTTATGCCGCTCCGCGAGCAAGGAGCGAAAGAACCAAGTGGGCTGTGGTGATGTCAGAATTTGCACCTATTTGTATCTATTTAGCGATCAGTCCGCTAGTTTCTTTGATCCCACTCGGTGTTCCTTTTCCATTTGCTTCCAATAGTTCAACCTATCCAGAAAAATTGTCGGCCTATGAATGTGGTTTCGATCCTTTCGGTGATGCCAGAAGTCGTTTCGATATACGATTTTATCTTGTTTCAATTTTATTTATTATCCTTGATCCGGAAGTAACCTTTTCCTTTCCTTGGGCAGTACCTCTCAACAAGATTGATCCGTTTGGATCTTGGTCCATGATGGCCTTTTTATTGATTTTGACGATCGGATCTCTCTATGAATGGAAAAGGGGTGCTTCGGATCGGGAGTAATCACTAGTGATAGGGCAAAAATCGGGGGAAAGGACAAAGGAAAGAGCGATGCCCACATTAAATCAATTGATTCGTCATGGTAGAGAAGAAAAACGGCGCACGGACCGTACTCGAGCTTCGGATCAATGTCCCCAGAAGCAAGGAGTATGCCCGCGTGTTTCAACGAGAACACCGAAAAAACCTAATTCAGCTCCACGTAAGATAGCCAAAGTACGTTTGAGCAATCGACATGATATATTTGCTCACATTCCAGGCGAAGGTCATAATTTGCAGGAACATTCTATGGTGTTAATAAGAGGAGGTAGAGTGAAAGATTTGCCAGGTGTGAAATTCCATTGTATTCGAGGAGTCAAGGATTTGCTGGGAATTCCGGATCGAAGAAGAGGCAGATCAAAATATGGTGCGGAAAAACCCAAATCGAGATGAATGGAAGATGCCTCTGGAACTAACTTGTTTTTCTAGATCAGTCGAGGTATTCATTGAAAAGTCTCAATGCTATCTTCGACAGTCTTGAGAGCGAGGGCCGCAATAGCGACCACTAAAATTTTGTTTCTAAAAGATCCCGCTCTTGATCTGGGCGGGATCTATCAGCAGCGGCATTCTTCCTTGCTCGTTCCTAGGAACTCAGTAACGTGGCCAGTAAGTCAGCGAGCATTGAGGCAGGCAGACAGATATTATAAACTGCTTTAAGTCGGTAAGGCAAGGAAGGCTGATTTCACCGATCATTCCTACTTGACGCTTTGGACGAGTATTTTCAAAACCTCAGTTCACTATCATTAAGGGAACTTCTTGGATCACCGCTTTGAGTCTTAAGGCGACGGAAGGCAGAAGAGGGAAAGTCGCTCTATTTACAATTACAAAAAAGAATTTAGGCACAGCCTTTTCCACAGTTACAGAAGAGAAGCCTTTGCCGCGCTTTGAAATATTGGCCCGGATTACGCTTTCAAATCAATAGTTCATTGACCGCCTCTGATCTTTTGTTTGTTTGAACAAGCCTTTTTACTACAGTTTGTTACTAAAGAAAGAATGTGCCATACTATCGAACTATAGGCGAGATGAAGTGAAGCAAGCAAGGGAAGAGTTCCGAAAAAGCGATTGATCCACTTAAGATAAGATCGATAGATAGAGTACGGGACAGGACCAACACTAACAGGGGACGTAGAACATATTTATTTAAAGGAATCGCCAGACAGAACAAAAAGCTAGAAGAAAGATGACCGGGGCCGGGAATCGAACTATTAAATAAAAATAAGGACCGATGAGACCTTTATATTATAATCTTAGAAAACCCTTACTATAATCGATTATTTGCACAGATCCGCTGAAATAAGGCCGATATCCGCATTAGAATTAACCTATCGTACTGAGTGAGGACGACCTATGAGATGGTTTAAACCGGGCTTTCTACTAAATCAAAGAAGCAATAGAGAAGAACTAATGGACAGGCCAGACCGTATAAGACTTTTTACTGGAATGAAAAGAAAGAGAAGGGATTCACGGGCAAAGGAGAAAGATACTATTAAAAGAAGCGATTCCTTAAACAAGGGATGAGCGTTGCCCAAGCAGTTAAAACCTATTAGAGTACAGTTGACCTCAGACCTATTCCCGATTGTAGAAGCGGAAAGGAGAATGCAAATCCCTTCTAAGTTCGTCTCACTTACGGGAAACGGTTACTAGCTCGACTGACAAATTTCCAACTGATAAAAAAAAGAAGGCGGCTTTTTCGCACCGATATATGAATAGGAGGGCTCCGGGTAGAGAGATAGAGATATGGGGGCGTAATCTTTTTGCGCTGAAACCTTACCCTTATGAAGGCGACCACTTATGTTACATCAATCTATTCTTGTCTTGACCTATGTATTCTCCAACTCCATCCACGATCTAAGGACTTCGTCTCGTGAACATCAACAAAAGATGCCTACTTAGATCCTTGTGGTTCAGTCTTTTTCTTGTTACGAATGAGCGAAGCGGGATTCTCTTTGAAGAAAGGGGTGGAAAGAAAGACTCATATTTGTTCGATCAAATCGGCTTGCTTATGCAGCTACCACTTGTACCCAAGGCAATTTACTTGTGCTCTACCAAAACAAAAGAATAGGGCTTATCAGGACCCTTAAATCTTTGAGTTTGCATCCGCTGTTGATCGATTAGTTCCTGTTGAGGGAAAATTAGTAACATCCACTGAAGAGCAGCCGGCATAATCTGATCTAGGACTAGGACCTGGCCCTGCCACGAGAGGTGTGCATTTAGTAGAATATTTCCTAGCGCTTCTTTCAGATCTCTAGAAACATACGGATTTTAGGATCTTCTATATCATATAGGTTGAACCGAGTCGGAGACTTAGCCTGATATTGCCAACCACTTCAGCCCGGAAGAGATGCTCATGTAACTCATTCACAGGGGATGTCTCGGACAAGGAAAGCTGTTCTATGGCCACTCGGCGCTTCCGGGGAATGCTTTTTATGGTTTCTTACGTATCTTTCCGGGGCTTAAAGTGCGAAGAAATATGTGTTTTCGTAGGAGAGTTCATCTGGTTCAGGATTTGGCCATAACATCCGAGAATGTGTATACCCGGAGTACATGACCCATCGACCCAAGGAGTGGCGGAACCGCCCAATTCTTTTTCTTTTATCAAAACTATATTCGCATCTATCTCCCCGCTTAGAATCTACTCTACTTATACCAATAGGGATATTCTGATGGGACCGAGGAATCGGAGTTCTCTCCTTTAGGGACAAGGTCGGATTGAGAAAGTACACCTCCCGGAGCTATTTGATCAAGTGCCGAGGGGTTCTTTTTTACAACTATTTCCCAGTCTTCGATCGCCGCCGTGGCATCCATTGATTCAACAGATTTAGATACTCAAGCGGAAAAGGCTTAAGTTGACCTACTTTGGTTGAGCTGCCCGTAGAATACTTTAACTGGAATGGGCACGAAGCTATCTAAGAAAGGGCTTGTTCGGAACTTATATCTATCTCCCAATGCTTACGAACAAGAAGGTCGGGAGTGAAAGCCTTTAGTCGGCCTATGCGGATTACTCTTTTTTCCAGGAACAAGAAGAACTAGCTCTCAACAACAGCCGGAGGCGAGGTGTCTCTATCTGTAGTTGACCTACCCCTTTCTGACCTAAGGCACCTTCGGCCAGGGCCCTTACGTATATGAATTTCCGAACTGCGATAATCTAATTTATGTCTTTTACTAGGATAGATGCATCCGAGGGTCGGGTAAAGCCCCCCGCCCTTTGGGTTGGGCATCTGCTATTGATCACAAGAATGCAACAGAAAAACTACTTACTTAATTATAGTACTCTTTGATTCAAATGGGAATGAAAGACGAAGAAATGCAGTGAAAGAAACATGATCTTTTGTGGTAAGAAGGAAAGAAAGGGTTGGAGCTCAGTACGACATCATGATCCGAACAAAACGTAAAGCCCTGTGGGTGGGTAACCATTTGTTGTCGACTCGGGCCGTGCCATCTTGTTTCGCGGGAAGACGCACTTCGCGTTAGCAAGGTTAGACATATCTCTTTAGTGGTTAATCAAAATACAAGATGGTTGACTACGAGATTTTTATCATTATATTAAAGTGCCGTTCCGATACGAAACCTAGAAGAAATCCGTTCATTACAATTGATATTCCATCAGGAGCTATATAGATCAGAGGTTGGAACCGCTAAAGCTTAGACTGCAGCTTCGCCGGCTTAGTTGTTTGCTTCGCTTGTAACCGTGATTGGAAGGACAAAAACAGCCTCATCTTTTCCATTCCTAACCGCTGTAAGCCGAGTTGACCCACCAAAAGTATGGACTTTCAACATCTCTATATGAAAGCCATGAAAGTTCCTTACCGAGAAACTCACTTTTTGCATCCCCAATGTCTTCTATATCTGAGAGGTCCGAGAAAGAGGCCCTATTTGTACTTTTTTATGATACTTAAACAGGCGGTAGCCCTGCAGAGATCTTTTTGGGTGAGAAAAACAATTCATTCTACTAAAAAGGAATAACCAGAGGAACACCTGGCTATAGCTATACCTCTCCCGATTAACAGAGCGTGAGGAAGGGGCAAAGTAACTCAACTAGAGCAAGGGGCTGCGCAGTTCATGCTTGGACAACGACTCAAGGAAGCTTTCTCTCGTTACGAAGTTCGCTCGTACGAAAATTCATATCCTTCTTGTCCCGACTTGGGTGCTCTCACTAAGTCAATTCCAAGAAAAGACTAAGACTTCAACAGCAGCTAGGTCTAGAGGGAAATTATGAGCATTACGTTCATGCATAACTTCCCTACTATTGGATCGCGAACCGATGCCGTATGGAAGACTCTAACCACTGAGTTAAGTAGGTCAATGAGAATTCCTATTCGATCCATTTCTTTTCTTCTTCAATTGATCATAGCTATGCTATTCCACGACTCCCGCTAGGTGTAAAGTTACTGGGTTCCAAACCTCACCCTTGAAACGATTTAAGCTGCTTCATAGATTTCTGTCTTTCTGTTACGCGACAGCATCACGGTTGTTACAGTCGGCGCTCTGCGTTCATGATACTCTGGGGTTACTTGCTTAGTGCTTGCGCTAAGCAAGGCGGTCGGGAATTGGCTGATGAAGAGGAATAACCTTAACTTTTATTATCTGTAGCTGTTGGAACAGGGGCGGTTGAAGAAAGTCGTCTGGGGACTAGAGCGCTCGCCCTGATCAATGCGAAATTGATCGAGATGGGATCATGATTTGATTGGAAATGCGTAAGTAAAAGGAGATGGGAGTAATCAGGCGTTCTATATACTATGAATAACCTTTTTCATTTCCTTCATTTTATATAAACTAGTGATGCACTTCTATAGCCTTTATAGTGAAGTTCACTCCTTTGGTATTGAAACTTATCTTATTTTAGCAGCAGAAATTGCCTTCTTCTTTGCTGCTACAGCGGAACCCTTAAAATCAGAAGAAACTTCCTCTTTGGCTTTGAAGCTACAGCTACCTTTCAATCAAAAACGGCTACAACGCGCAGTTGCTATTAGCTTATTTATTTACTTGAGGCATAGGCATAGGCGGGATAGGGCTTTGCTTTAGCATAGGGCTAAAAAGAAGCTCTATAAGCCGAAATATAGTACCTGTAAACCCCTTAGTTCCTCTTCTTTACCATAGGGTAGGGGGCGTGAAGCTATAGAAACAAAAAGGCTACTTACTAGCTTTGCCTGCTTGGTTGTACACAGCTACTAAAGCAACGCTATTTTGCTATTCTACAGCTTGAAAATGGCTCCTAAAGCTAACTACTAGCACTAGCAGGAGCTAATAGCAAAAGCAAAGCTAGTAGCCAGCCGCTGCTATCTCTTCCTATATAGCATAGCTTCAAAATAGCCCAAAGCAATTGTCCTATAGAGCTTCCACCTTCCCTACGCTAAATCAAAGGAGCTACTAGAACAGCTAAGGTAGTAGCCTTA